GCACTAAATTTAATAATTTATTCATGTCTATAGAAATTGAATAAAAAATTTATTGAATATAATATAGTAGCTGTCAATATGACACAATATTTAATAATATAATATTGTCTTTTGCATATATTATAATTTAATATTTGTTTTTTTTTTTTTTTAAATTAAATATTAACTGGATATGACCACTAATACTAATAATAGAGATTGAACCATCTAAAATCTTCCAACAGTTTGACTGTTTATCCATATTAACTATTTAACAATATAATTTTGACTAACATAATTTGGCCAGAAACTATGGTATCAGTTTCAATATTTTCAATAACGTACGTACATTATATCTTTTTTAAATAAACAAACCTGTTCAACAGTGAAAATTATTACATAAAATCTATTAAGTGCAAATCATTCTATATATTTTCATCCTTGAATTAATTACCAAAAGTAGTAAGGTATAACAGGTATAGATGCTCATACATACATACCAGAATTTATAATAAGTGTATAGCCACAATTTTATAAAAATAATATTTATATTATAATAAATATTTGTTCGTTATATATAAACATTTATACACATCTTGTTAGAAAGAGCTGACAAATACAGAAATATAGAAGTATCATAACACAATAAATCATATGAAATCAGATTCATGAATTTGAATACACCTTTTCACTTGGCATATAACCATGCACTTCATTATACAGTCGTTCTTCTTTATAATCACTCAGTTTGTTTTACACAAATATGTGATTATAATTATAATATGCTTATATGGAGGTATTTTTTAATAAGGTTGGTTATTAATAAATTGTTTCAAAGTTTTGTGTGATTATATAGAAGTTGTGATTATGTAGGAGGTGACTATAGAGGAGACGACTGTACAAAGGAAAAAAAAGAAAGAAATTGTGTAGGTAAATGTTTATTTTTATTAGACTAATTTACTATGAAATAGGCTCTTTTTTAATAATATTAAGTTTTTTTTTTTGCACAAGTATTTATATAAGTAATCTAAAAAAATAAATATAGAAAAAAATAAAAAATGAATTTTTTTACGGGTAAAAAAAATTAAAATCTAATCTATAAGAAATTGGAAATTAGTGCTCAAATAAATATAACAGAGCTAATTTTCTTGCGTAAATTAATACTGCAAGTTTAGTTGCACGTAACAGCTAAAAAATTATAAATACAACCCGAATACTATAAAAAAAGGTTTGGGCATGCTCAGAGCGATCAGAACGATCAGATAGCGCATATTAATATAAGATAAATAAGATATGATCTTAATACAAAAATCCTTTATGTTTTAGTATAAAAGGAAATGTGGCAGATCACGAGTAAGATTACAACCAATAAATAAGTTACCTAACGCTAATCATAAACTTTAGAAAGATTAAAGGGTGGTTAAATCAACATAAACATGGTGACGATTCGGCAATTGCGATTTATAGAATAACTAAAAAACCCAAAAGATTGTAACTACATAATGGTTATGGAGTACGCAAAGCAGGGAAGTCTCGGAAAATTTTTAAATAGTAAATATGGTGAATTAGATTGGGATTCTAAAGTAGCAAATTTATATTATATAGCTAGAGGACTTAATACACTTCACAAAGCCAAATTAGTGCATAAAGATTTTCATTCTGGAAATGTAGTTAATGAAAATGTTTACTTCTTACATTACTGATTTTGGCTTATGTAAGCCAGTGTCACAAGACTCAAGCTCTAAAGCACTTTTTGGTGTGCCTCCCTATATTGCTCCAGAGGTATTATTTACTAATGGAAAGGAATACACTCAAAAATCAGATATTTATTCTTTCGGAATAATTATATCGAAAGTTTTTACTGGATATCCTATATTCCACACAACGAAGAGCTGGCAACACGTATTAGGGTAAGGCATCAACTAAGTAATCAAAACTATGTTAGCAACATTGATCAATTTACTAAGATCAGATTTTATTAGCGAAATTAATAGTAATAAATTGAATATTATTGCTATATTAAAAGTATACAAATTTCTAAACAATTCAGACGAAAACTGCACTTATTTTTCGAATTTTTTTTGTACGAAGAACATTCATTAGAATTATCTTGAAGGTTTAATGTTGAATTTTTTGCAAAAACTTCAAGTAAATTTTAACTTAAGGTTTCGAGACATTTATTTTTTACTCTAAATCAATAAAATTTAAGACATTTTATTAAATTTTATAAGATAAATGCCCAAAACTTATATGTTGGCACAAAATTATCAACATTGGTTTATTCTAGCATTTTATAAGCAATTTGTGAAAGTTTCAAGGCAATTTGATGCCTTGACAAGAAGTTGAATCATTTTGAATTTTTTTTTGTATTAGTAATCGAGGTGATCATAATCGTAGTACGTATCAGAATTTAGAGCTTAATATGACTTACCAGTGATGTAATATTGCAGAACTATATAAAGATATTCGATTAGAGTTTTGTCAAACTTCTACTTTGTTCCTTGAATTAACCGGTATTATCATACAACTTTGAAGCACTAAGTGCAGTTTGGTTGAAAGTTATTAATAAAGAAGCGATTTGGCATAATTATATTAATTTGCAAGAAATGTAAGTTTGTTATTTGACCTTTCATAAATTGTCTATAAAATTGATAAATTATATGTTTATACTATAATAGACAAATACCGAAAGTATCCAAACAAAAAGCTCATACACGTAAAGCAGGTCAAGCATCAGCAGATGCACGAAAAGCTGCTACTCAACGTAACAAACAAATTCATGATATTAGTCAAATATTAACCCAAATGGACGATAATAAATTACAGTTAATGTACCAAAGTATCATTCAATCAACCAATAACAAAAAAACAAACAGAATGACATTTTGCCAAAAATTAATTGATATAATTGAACAATTACCTGATAATCAATTGAAGTTTGCGGCTCATTTATTTAGCACTATGCGATATCCTAAAGGGCCAAATGAGGATAAATTGATTTCACCTTTTTTACAAGATAAGGCATTGGACTTTATAAAAACATCTCTTTACAAGCCACATCAAGATTCTGGCTCATTAATTCAAAACAACGAAACTTTACAAAAAAAAGTAAATCAACTAGAACATTCGAATACTAAAAAAATAACAAGGTTAAACAATTAGTAGGATCTATATCACAATATAAGCATAAACAGAGTCAGCACATCTCAAAGGTACGTGCTATTGCACGTAAACCTAAACTTGTAGATTTGCAAAGTTTGAATGCAACTATTTAGTCAATTATTATGAAAAATAAACATCATTATACAACACAATTCATGAATATGGCAACTCAAGTATCACAAATCGGTCAAATGTCATTTAGAAGTACAGTTCAAGCCACATAGTTAATCTTGGGTTTTTTAACTGGTGAAAGTTTATCTTTGCTGATTTCATGTAGATCAATTATTCGATGGAATCATGAAATTAGTGAAATTCACATTGATCAAATTTTAAATAAAAATATTTTTTTTACATTTTTTACTCTTGGAATAATGGTAGATGAGTCTACTCGTGGTCAGCAAAAGATTTTTGTATTATGCATTATATTTTGGAACTCAAAAACAAATCAGCCTGATTTTCAAGTGTTAGAAATGAAAGATCTGGTAAATTGTACGGGAAAAACAGTTGCTCAAACGATGTATAATACTTTTAATCATTTTAAAATTAATATATATCAATGTTTAGTATGTGTTTTTGACAATACAAACTATATGAGTGGAAAAACTGGTGGTGCAATTACTTTATTTAACAAAATAAGTGATGCTAGAATGGTTCGAATACCCTGTGGACTTCATATCATACATATTATTATGAATAATTTTGAGAAAACTGCCTTTGGCAAGTTACCTAATATTAGTGGATTTTCACAAAAAGAACATCCAGCAAATCTCTTATATTTAGTCTGGGACCTTCATGATGGTTACAATAAGTCAGATAAAGATAAACCAATGGGCATTCATTCTGATTATATTTACAAACTTTATGAAGAACGATTTCAATATCAAATAACAAAATATCAGCAACTACTTCGATCAAAATGGCTATGCGAATTGATATATGCTGAACAATATTTAGAACATAGAAGTATTCATATACAATTCGCAGAATGGTTTCTATTAAAGCTTAAAACTCAAAATAATACACCAAAGACATATATTAAAAAATGGGAACTATTAAAAAAGTGGCTTGGTGATTCAGTTTTAAATATGCAAGTTAAATTCTTGGTTCAATTTGGCAAAGACTTTTATTATCTAATAGCTAAATTATTAACAGGATATGATTCTGAATTATATATGCCTGATCAAACTTCTAAACCAACAAATCTTCCTCCTGGAAGGTGTATACATCAAATGTTAGATTTTGTAACATGTACAACAATAAAGCTTCAAAATATTGTTGAGGATCTTTATTTATTTTTTAAGAATAAATTATTAGAAAGTACCAATATACTAAATAATGATCAACTTAACAAATTTATCTTAGATATTGAATGTGGTACTCAGAAGACATTAGAACTTCACCAAAAATAGTTGAATTGTTGGTTGCATTTGCCATTAAGTATTTGTCGCTTGGGTAAAAAATATAGATGGGAGTTTGTATGAAGTTATGCTTATGTTATTTTGAAAACACCTTGGATATTAGTATCTTCACTCTGAGAACTATGTTATATAAAATTCATTGAGCTAGATATTGAAAATGGTGACTTTAATGACTTTAGTCTATTCGATGCATTAAAGGATCCAATCTTTAATTATGAATTTCACCAATTCATTCAAACAAAGCAAAATTCTTTAAATCAGTTTTCTAAATTATTAGAATTTGTCAAATACTGAATTTGGTATATTGTAATTCACTAACAACAGGTTGAAGGTATTTTCAATAAATGGGATCTCAAGACTTATTTGAACATGACAAGTAACCTTCAACAATCAAAACTATAATTATCAAATGTACCACTTAAAGAAATTGGCTATAACTCCATGGATTTAATAGAACTAAGAGCTGAAAAATGTTAGCAACAATTAAAATCTACATACAAACAAAATTCAGAACAAGAAAACTTAAAGGATGATGAATATGAAAAAAGTGCAAACATTTTATTTAAAAATTTATTTGGCAAATAATAAAACTTTATTTTATTATTATTATTGTCAGTATATTAAATTTGCATATTAGCGTTATTTAATACAATTCGAATTTAAATAAAAATTAATTATGTTTGTGTAACATAAAAATCTGTAATATATAAAATTTTATAGTTTGCTAACATAGTTTTGATTACTTAGTTGATGCCTCACCCTAAACACATATTGTCTAGGTTATAGACCTGAATTCAGATGCAAAGTTCCTTGACTACTTTTGGATCTAATGAATAAATGCATAAATGCAGAACAAACAGATCAACTGCTAAAGAATTAGTCAATACGTTGAGTCATTTTTTTAGAGATTTAAAAAATGAAAAAACTGAATTATATGAGCAAGCTAAAAATTTTAAAGGCTTAGACAAATTTTCTTAGCATATAAACAAGTCAAATCAACACATTTAATTATAAAACACATCCACAAGCTATTTATACAAGTCAATTTTTGAATCATTCCAAACTCCCTAAACCAGGTAATAGCATTTATTCGAATTTTTAAAAAATTAGTATATATTATCAATTGTAAAATTTCTAAATCTGTCACTATAGTAAATGCAGGTAATGATATTTATTTCTCAAATTGAATTCAAAACTTTTAGTTTTAGTATATTTATATGTACAAATTAACCTATTGATTTTGTCGAGTTCCTAATAGTAAGTAATATTTGATTTACTTATAAATAACCAAATTTATTGCTTATTTTTATATCTGTATTTAGATTATTAAATCAAGTAAAAAGAAGTTATTGAATTGGGAGATATGTCTTCATGTATGTATGTGTCTAAAGAGAAAAAGATATTGAAATAATAAATATTAAAATTACTTGTTGGTGATAGCCTTTTTATTTTAAATAATATGCCATATTATAAATTTTTTTAAAAAAGCTATAAAATTAAAATCTAAGTATTAAGGCTCCTGACTTTAACAGTTCCTGTTTCTAGTATAATTAAAATCAAATTTATAATTTTACCTCAAAACTATAATAAGATAATATCTAATTAGAACTAAAAATAAATTGTAAATAGCTTTTTATATTTTCTAAATAAAATTTAAATACCATTTTAAATAAAAACCATTCAAGCAATGATTAAGTTCGAACATATTTGAAAGCAAATTCAGTTTAAATTTTTAAATGAGTTATGACAACTCAATCTATATTCAATAAATTAGATAGATGTGAATAATTAAATGTTTAATATGTAGCAAAAGAATCCCAGCATTAAATTTATGTAAATAACAATGTGAATGCCAATCAATCAAAATTTCGAGTTTGATTTTGTTGATAGTCTCAAAACGCCTGGAAGGCCTAACTACACAACCATTTAGACCACCCAAAACAGACAACATTGATACAGAAAATGATAAAAAGGGTACAATAGTGTATAATAAAATCAAAACCAAAACTGAACTAGCTTCTATAGAAACTTCTCCAGTAGTACTATCTCCATTTTCAAAAGTTTTTGGTGTAAAAAATAAAAAGCATAGATAATATAAAATATGAAAAAGAATTTATTAATTTACACTAGATGTATATATACATACATTTAATTTATCGATTTACAAATTTGCTTAACATATAAATTGTAAATGAAAAATTAGTATAGCTTAAGATTAGGGTGAGGGTAGCTTTAGAGTTAGTTAAGTTATAGTTTATACTAAAATTTTGCAAAAAGTATTTTTCATTAGAACCCCAAAAACTATTATATAATCAAGATTTTGAAATATCAATATATGTGTGTACATATATATAGTGTACAAATAGCAATTGTCAATATGAAATAATAATTTTTTTTTGTTATAATAAAGAATATAATTTATATTTTAGAATACAAATATCAACTTAGAAGTGAAGCTATCTTTTTTCACAAGACATAGATCGATATAAATTTTATAAATATAGCAATCAAATTTTGAAACAAGTTATACAAAACAAACCAATATAATTAAATAATTTAAAATATAAATATTTATTAGGGAAAGAAAGAGATTAGTTTATTTTTTTATATATAACAATAAATAAAGTTTTTATATGATAAATTTTAAAAAATTTTGACCTGAATTAAAAAAGTTTAGTAATTCTGGCCAAAATTAAGACAGCCAAGTTTTTAATCAATTAATAAAATTGATTAACTTTAAAAGAAAATAACTTTAATAAATACTAATTAATTTAAAAAATAAACTTCGGGTTTTCTCCAACCTATCCTAGCTAGACTTATTTTATTCATTTAAACTAATAATAGCACTAAAATAGGAAATAGGA